CAGCAATATTGACCGTAGCTATTAATGATCCAGCTGCACCACCTAGTACTCCATGACGTTCATAGCCAGCACGTGGTTGTTTTACAATACCTGTAACACCATCTTTCCAGCCGTTCCATAGAGAAAGACCAGCGGCCTTAGCACCTGATTTGAAATCGGTGACACGTGGTCGTTGGCGTGTTTTGGGACTACTGAAATGAATTGTATACTATATTGTTGACATATAAAATTCATAAAAAGATATCTTACCTATATGGATCATAAAGTGAAGTAACACAATCAAGTGCATCGGTCATTTCACCATATAGTGATAGACATCCAATGGTTAAATGACCTATACCTAAACCAAAACCTTTAGCAACACTTCCAGCACCTTCAAGTGTTCGAATAGCTGGACTATCATCATCGTTCTTGACAGCACGTTTCAAATCTTCAGCTGTATCAATAAACATACTTGAAATAGCTTTTTGTGAATGTTCAATAATACCATGAGTAAGTATATGCATACGATTATCATGCATAAATTGCCATTCTCGTGTAACATGAGAACGAAGTTCAGATTCTTCTATAGCACCTGCTGCTACGAGTACTTGAGCAACAGGACGTGATATTTGTATATTATATTTATCCAAACGATAACAAGCAGCAAATGTTGGTTCTAAATCACTATGCATATGTTTTAATGGTAAATTAGCATGAAATGCACGGATTGCTTCTACACATCCATTTTCTTTTAAAATATCATCACGAATACGTTCAGCAGCAGTACGTGTTGTTGGTTCATGAACAAAACGAAAAGCTTCAGCTAATTTTTTAGCACTAATCGATTTTCCAGGAAGTGGACATGGACCAGCACCACTTTTTTCAATCACATTACCCCAAAAAAATTGATCACCAAAAAATGGTACTATAATCGTTGGTTTACCAGCTCGTAGACCAGCTGCTGTTGTGCCAGCTCCTCCATGATGACATACAGCTGATACTATAGAATGAATAAGATATTGTTGATATATTTAATAAGAAATGAAAAATTATACTTACCATATTGAAAAAGCCAATCATGTGGTACATTACCAATTTTAAACACATTAGAAGGTAGTTGATCTGTATCTGTAGCAAGACCAGATAATAGAGCTCGATATCCAGTTTCATTAAGAGCATCAATAACAATTCGAAGAATACGACGAGAATCATGACCTGTAATAGAACCAAAACCAATATAGATTGGTGGTGGTAATTTACGACGATTATAATTGCCATCACTGTTAATACCAAGAAATTCAAGTAAATCTTTCGATGGATTAGTATAAGTAGTACCAAGATTAAGAAAGAAAAAACCTGAAACATTAATATGTGTTCCCCAATCATCAGGTTTTGCAACCAGTGATGGTGACCAACAATAAGTAACTGGTACACGCTCATCAATTAATGCATTTGTTGCTTGACGTGTATGTAATTCTCTAAGACCTAATGTTTTCTTACGAAAATCATTCACAATATCACGCATACCCGTCCAAGTCTATAAAATAAAATTTAAAAAACTTTTTGGTGTTTTTTTTTATTAACTTACTAGCATTTCAATCACATCATATGAATAAAGATTAATTTTATTTTTTGGTCCAATTGAACTTTCAATATTCGACAATGGATGTGGAAAAGCAATTGTTGGTGACCATGGCATGGTAAACATAATATGTAAGGGTATTTGTAATTTTTCTGCACAATGTATATGACCAAATGATGGTGGATTTGCAATAATTGCTTCAGCTATAAATGGTGCATTGGTTTCATCATCATCAGCTATACATGCTTGCCATGTTGAAGCAAGAATATTGGCAAGAGAACGACGTTTTTTTTTAACGTCACCTTCAATAATACTATTTAATGATGGTATAATACCAGCATTTTTTACCATAAATGACATTAAATCAGCTGGATCACCAGCTAATGGATAAAATTCTAGACCATTACCACGAACAAATGATCGAAATGTTTCATGTGTTGCTAATCGAACACGATGACCAATTGCACGTAGTGCTTGACCAAGACTAAAGACATAAAATCAAATTTTTAATATTATTTGAACAAAAAAAACGAAAAGAAATCATCTGACTCACGCAATAAATGGTTGTACATCACCTCTTGTACCAACAATAAGTATAACAATAGCTAAACGTGGTACAAGAAGGTCATCATCCATATTTTCTTTTATTTCATTTATTTGATTATCTTGAATAATCGATTGAGATGAATCTTTTAATGATGATGATGGTATTGGTACAGTTTTGGATTTTCGTTTTGGATTGAATATAACATCAATACGTCCATCACCATTATCAACACTAACCTTATAATCAAGAATACCACCATTTGGTTTCTTATCAAAATCTTTATATTTATTAAGATTATTTTCATCCATGATTACTTGTCCAACAGCATAAATAACTTTACCATAGATAAGAAGATAAGCATGAAGTGAAAGTTTTACATTTGTACAACAAATAATTAAAATATTATCATGCTTAGTTTCATTATGTAACAATTTTAAAGATAATTCAATTGGATTTTTTAATGATGTTAATGAACCTGAAAAAATTTGTATACTATTAAGCCATATAGTAGCATTGATAGTAGAATTATTATCATGATGATTCGATGGTATAAAATTAAGATAGACTTGTTGTTTTGATGTTTGATTTGTTGATGTCCAATCAAATTTTTTACAATACCACCATTTACATGATCGTCTATCATTATTAACAGTATTAATAATATGTGGTAATTCTATAGAAGACCAACATTGATCTGTATTAATATTATTTACCATCGAAATAATAGTTTTTGCATCAGTTTTATCATTTGATTGTTGACAATAACATTTCCAATCATGATTAAAATCTATATTTGTTAAATCTTTATTATCTACTGCCATGAAATGTTAATCTTTAAAGAGCAAGTAATTGAGAATGACGACAACGACGATGAGAATGTCTATATGCTCTATTCTCTTTCTTCTGTCAATGTTCTAAAAAAATTTTTCATTCTTGTTTTTAACATTACCTTCTGAGTAATACTTTATGAGTCATTACCAATAGCATTCGTCTTAGGTCGTATACTAATGAATAATAATGTTGATTTTTTTTTCTTTCTATTGTGTTATTTCTTTTTTTTCTCGTTTTTTCTGAATATATATTAATCTATCGAATAATTTGACGATTGATTGAATAGGAAAAAAAAAAGAAATTCTTAAGGTTTCTTTTTCTATTAGCAATTCTAATATTTGAATTTTTTTACAATATTAATTATATAACTCATTTATAACTCTACTCTTCTATTCTTAAATTAGTGGGTTTATTTTCTAGACAGTTTAGAAGCTTAATGACAGTTGGAGGCTTTTTTTTTCCTGTTGATTATTAGTCAGAGTAAATGCTACAAAAAGAAAAATTACTCATTACATTTGGCCATAAACATTCATAATAGGTCTATGATTAAGAGATATCAACAATATTTTGTTTTCTCAAAGTTTTTATGACTTTTTTATATTCATTATGAGTAATATTTGTAATAGTTCATTGACGTCATTGTTTTTTTCTTTGAAGCGCTCAATATTGCCTTCTAGCTTATCTTTTTTTTTCGCCTTATTGATAGATGGTTTTATTTGAGATTCTCATATCGGATATGAACTTCAATAATTATTGAAATACTTTTTATTATTATAGAAAATTTATATAATTATCATTACAGTTGATAATAATGATGTTAAGTTGTACTTATAAAATATTTTATTTTTCTCTTTATATTAGACAAAAACAATAGTATTAACATAAAAACTAAAGAAAAAAAAAAGTCATGAAAAGTCAAATGAAAGATTATTTTTTCAATTATATAAGATATACAAATTAATTTTTATATCATGAATAAAATATATGCCTACGCTCTATTACTGAATATATTTAGTTTTAGAATTTAAATGTAACAAAACAAAAAAACAGCAATGCCATTTCTACTTATTTACAAAGTGGGAGTGTTTGTTTTTTGAAATCAATCAGTCAAGGTGTGTGATCGTGCATATAAAATTTTTTGTACATTTTTTATGCCAAAAATATTTGACAATTTATCATTAACAAAGTCAAATTTAATAAATAAATTTCAATAAATATAAATCATTATTAATCCATCTTTGTTATGAAAAATTTGCCTATTTAGATTTTTTTTTAATCAAGTAACGAATGAGCCAAACTAAATTAGACTTTTTGTGTTTAAACCAAAAACTTTTTTAGACCTATTCGACAATAGATGAAAAGTAAAGACATACAAACAGCTGTAAAAAATGAATATGAAAATAGTGACTTAACCGAAGTGTGGTTTCTTTACAAGCCAACAAATTATAAATAGAAATGATCGATAATACTAATTCTATCAATTTCTCACATTCATCTATGCAAAGTCTGAACAAAAAGGGAATTTCTGAAAGATGAAAAGACATCTAATTTTCAAGAATCCTACATTCGATTTTACTGTACGATTTCTTTTGACTCAAAAGTATGAAAAGAAACTATATTATTCGTTTAATAAAGTATACCATTTTCTACAGGGTTTCAAGGACTATCTTTTGATTTGAAAAAAATGTTGTATTCGAGTGAAGAAATATTAAGAATACAAATAGTCTAATTAATTTTTGCTCATACTCGTTACTACCTCACGGTAAGACAAAATCTTTCTCAAAAAATATACAAACTATTTTAGTTAAATATTTAGACTGTTATTTTGCAATAATAAGTGAGACTCTTTTTGAATTAATTATTATTATTTATTATAGAGTTTTACTTATTAACGTAAAACTTCTTTATTTACTTCTATTTGTAGGTTGAAAATATTGATACAAAAAATTTTTCAAATAACAAACAATTTTTTATGATCAATTGAAATTTTTTTAAATAGTTTTCTCGTTTTTGTTAATTGTTGATGACAATTTGCGCATTACTATTAATAAATTTTGTTCAAACCATCTGCACAGGTTGAATGACATTTCTATATCTACCTTGATAATATTTAAATAAATCAATTAATTGTTTCCGGTATGTTGATGATATAGATAAATGCACAAAAAATGATGAAGAATAAGTAATATAAAGAAAAACACTAAGTATAGATAACATAAAATTTTCTATTGCTATTCTTTCAATAGATTTTGTTGATATTTGTAAAATAACAATAGCTGAATAAACAAAATATGATGTATAAGGACCACAAGATATTAAAGCAAGTAATATACGAAGAAATATTATCAATGTTAAAGAACGTTGAACTCTTCGTAGATGAGTTCGATTATGTAATTTATAATAAATTAAAATACTCATTGCAATCAATATAAATAATGGAAGTATACCATAAAGAATAGGTATACAAAAAAATGATGCATATTTAGAAAATATTGAATTATACATTGGTGTACAACTTGTACTTGTATTTGTTTGAAGAATTTTAGTAAGAATGAAAAATGGTAGACCTTCAATTGCAATAATACAACTCATGAAAAATGTTATCCAACGAACAAAATGAATATTACTTAATTGTCGCCATCGTACTGTTCGACAACTAATAAAAAATCGATCAATTGACATTAAACAAATACTATAAAGTGAAATTAATGTTGATATACGAAGTAAATAAGTTCTAATTTTACACCATAAAAGATTCGATAATGTAAGATCAGTATTAAATCCAACAGCAAAAATACGAGGTAATAATCCAATATTAAGAACAATACAATCAATTATTGATGAATAAATTAATAAAAATGTACATGGATTATTTCGATTTGAAAATAGTATACAAATATTAAGTAAACTACCAAAAAATCCAAATATATAAATAAAAATACCAATATATATAGTAACATAACATGTTATAGTTATGAGTAACGACATATTTAATAAATGAATCGAAATAAATTTATTCTTTCTTCTAGGTTTTTCTTTTTCCTAAGTAATTGTCAATTTTCTCATTAAAAAGAAAAACATGATATATTGCGTGTTGAAGAATTTAATTTGAAATTTAAAAAAAAAAAAAAAAAAAAAAAAAACATATGAAGTAAGTTATTAATAAAATAATCTGTTCTTTTCAATTGACGTCAAAGAAGACAGTCATATTATTTCATTAAATATATTTGTTTTTCGATTCTTGACACTTTAATTAAAATAGATTAGTGTCCACTTGTATTATATGATTAAAAGAATAAGTTTTTTTTTTTGCACATACAAAAATTAGTCTAATATAAAGTTCGAATGAACAATGTGAAATACTTTTTATTAGAATAATGAATTCAGCTTAGTAAGAAAGTATTTTACTGAAATTCTTAAATCTAAAATAAGCATAAATATTAATAAAATACATTTCATATACATTGATTGATTTATCAATCGATGTTATATTAACATTCATTTTTGTCCGTATCTGATTTTTCAGTGCAAACATTCTTGTATTGAAGCATCTTCGTATTCAAGTATCTGTACTTAAGCATTCGCACTTATTATTCTTGCTTCCAGTGGACATTGAAGATCTTTGTTTTGGCTTCATTGAATCATTAAAAAAAAATATTTAGTAATATCAACATATAAACTTTGTCATACTTGTGAATTCAATAATTTAAATATTTAAATTTAAGATGAAATTATCGAATGTAATAAAGTTCATAGTCATATATTTACATTTTTCTTTCTCTATAGAAATAGATAACTTCGTTGAAAAAAAAATGAATTTTTTTATTATTTATGTTCTGATATGAACTAAATGAATTTCAAAATTTTCTTGAAACTTCACATGATTCAAACCAAATTTTCTACTGTTTCATTTTTGCTTTATTAGTACAATTCTACATCTAAGAAAACTTGATCTATGATAGATTTATTATTTAATTGTAATTATGTTTTTTCTTCATTTAAAAAAAAAAAATATTAATCTTTAATCTATTTAAATTTATTGGATTTATATTATATCTATATACGATATTTTCTAAAATTTGAATTTGTTTCTAATCGTTCCATTTCATTTATTTCTAATCCAAGTATAACATCAATACTTGTATCATTTTTTTCTGTTGAAAATAAAATAGCTGTACCATTAAATTTTGTATCTTTTGGAAGTATAATTCGACATGGATAAATATCAAGTTCAAAATCTGAATCTGAATACATTCCCATTTTATTCCAAGCTGCTATTGTAAAATCTGTTTCATCTAATTTGAATGTTGGTGAAATCTTTTTTTTATCCATTTGACATATAATCCAAGAAAGAGTAGTTCGTATATCATTATTATTATTTTTTTCAATAGCTTTATGAACTTGACTAGCTAATAAACTAAGATTATTTTCATTAATTAATTCTTTCATATTCATTTCTAAATAAGAAAACATTATTGCATTTCCAAAATAAGTCTTAGGAATTAATGGTTGTATTAGACGTGAACGTATATTAGTTGAAATATAAAGTTTTGTTATTGATGATGTAGAATAATTACGAGCAAGCATAACATGTCGATAAAGATGAGCAGTAAGAACATCAAATGTTGATACATAAGTTACATTAGATAATAAATGACTTGAAGCATCTGATTTCATTCGATTGAGTTCATCAGCTGAAAATCGAAATATTTTCAAAATAATTTGTTTTGGTTGTTCAATTAATAAAGAATTTTCTGTTTTTATAGCAAGACTTTTTCGATTATCAAAATCTGAATTTGTCTTTTTTAATATGTCAATATCTGTTAAAGTTGGTTCAAGTAATGTTCGTTGATGACAAACATTTGGTTGATATTCTAAATTTTTATATAATTGTGCCCAATCTTTAATAATTTGAAAATATGAATGAGCATCACCAACTTGATGATTTAAACTAATACCAAGTGCAACACTACCACATGAAAATCGAGTATGACGAATATGAAATAAGATATCAGTATCAACTACATTGATTAACTGCAAGGCATCTGGTATTATCTTGGTATTTGTATATTCTTCAACTGATAACGGTAATTCACTTAATGAAATGTTAACTGTTGTAGAGACAAATAGAATACCACCTTTAGAATCATGTTGTACTATAGATACTTTATTATCTTCATCGAATAATTTCAATATACCATTTAATAAAGGATAATATTCAAGTAATTTTCTTAAACTTAAAATTAATTGTTCAACATTCATGAACATATCTTTTGATTGTTTTTCGTACAATGACCATTGTTGAATATTATAAAAATAGATACAATTAATACTATGAATTGAAGATATAATCCAATCATTTGGTGATAATTTTAATGATTGAAATAATTCATTTTTTATAATAGTTGATGATAAGATTTTTTCTAAATAAAAATAATAATTTATTATTTAAATAAGTCTTTGAATTTTTTAATTTAACTTACGAATAATATTTTGATTCATGTTATTCTTATATTTTTCTAACATAAGTAAAAGATAGTTTTATTACCACGTTTTATTATATTCGAAATGGTAATTACACAATACTTTCGATTCTTTTTTCTTCTTTATCATGTAATTTCGCAATTACCTAGAAGAGAAAATATTCTATTTCTTTACTATTCTGTGGACTATTTGCACAAACAAGACCATTAATACTGAAAGCATTATACTACAACAGAGAACAGAAAAATAAAGAAAGAAAAATAATAGTCTGACTGTAGTAATATACATTATTATCTAATATTATTCTCAATATTCGAATAAGAAAAAGCAACACAAAAGTTAATAATTTTTTGATGGTTGAATTAATGATTTTCATGGAATTATTATAATTGTATTTCATATAACTTTATCTTCAATTAAAACATATCAGTTGATTAATTTCAAAAATATTAGATAGAATTTCTTTTTGAAAATCACATTAGTAGTACTATCAATTTTCATTTCGATGCAATCTTCTTAATTATTATTTTATAGATATTATTTTTGTGTACTTTGATTTATTAACTATTTGACTAATATGAAAATCATTTCGTTTGAAAAGAAATATTCTCTTTGTTATTTCTATCAATCAATATTTGTAATAAAGTACTTACATACTTTATCTTGATCTACGAAGATGTATTAGATAAGATCGAAAAACTTCTAAAATACTTTGAATATATCATAAATTTCATTCATCTTATTTTTTTTTAGTGATTATTTTAGATGTTTTAACTATATAGAATAAAACTTCAAAGAGTACACTATCAAATTATGAAAGTAACATGTAGAATTGTTTTACTACTACAAAATCATTTACGTTTACTATCTGTTCAGACTTTTAAAACAATGTGTATTATTTTAGTTTATAATCACTTCAACACCATGCAAATATTGAATCATCTATTCATGTTTTAAATTTATATCTCATTCAATAGTCTCATTATTCATTAAAATAGAAAGGAGAAAAACATTTAAAAAAAAGAAAAGTAAAATATGTCAATATTCGATTGTCAAAAATTCTTTCTCTAATAAAAAAATCAATCTATTGATCGTTACATAAGTATTTTAATGATTTTTTTTTTCCTGTTATTGTTTTATAGAATGAATAATATTTTCATAAATTTTAATTCTATCGATTAATAATTAGTCGTAAGATGAAGTGAAAAACTAATCGTTCATTAGTAAATAATGTTTGAATCTATAAATTTATATTTAATTTTTCATTATTACTAAATGCGAATGTTCTGTAATGTATTGAATAAGGTTTTATTTTAAATAAGTTAATAGAGACAGTGAACTACTGACGTCTCTGATTCATAAAGAATGTCAAATATTTCAACGAGAAATACACAAGAAGCTGCCGATCACTAGAAAATCCAACAGAGAGAGATCAAAGGTTCAAAATGAACAAAAACAAAAAATAACGAACATTGTCTATGAATAGCATCTTTTGATGTGTCATATTTGATATCTGTGCTTGTTTGCGAGTAAAAAATAATTTAAAATAAAGATCTACTTGTCCAACATGTATACTTTCTATTTTTGATATTTTATAATTGAAGGAGTATACACTTCTCTTGTTTTTGTTTCTGGAATACTCAAGTGTTATTAATTGTAGTTCATCTGATTTTGTTCTTGTTAGATAATTTTCTTTATTTCATTCAATAGTATTTAAATCTTTATAATTTCGAAAAACTTCAAACTAACATAAATTTTTCTATTATTCAATAAACGATTCTTTTGAAAAATATTGAGAAAAGTTCGTTGTTAGATTTATAACGATCATTTCTCAGAAGAATGTCGAAATTCTCTCTTTTGAATTGAATATTCCTTCTACAATATCTGTCACAATAGAACATTTTTATATTTTCATAATGAACAATATTCAAAATAAAGAACATGCATTTTTTGTCATTTGAGGAAAAAAAAGAATAATGTAGATTTGTGTGAAGCATCATCTAAAAATTTTGTTGAAGTAGACTAGAAGAAATGTGAACCGTTTTCTACAGGCATGATCAACAGCTTAGCATAATACTTCATTAGAGAATATGACAATTGAAAATAGTAGTCTTCTGTCATTATTTCATACTGATTTGTTGTTATACATAATAATGATAATCTTCCGTCACCGATATGCATTAGTAATAGATAATAAATCACAAACCAAAATATATTTTGATAAATTCTCTCTTTTTACAATGATAGTAGTTTTCTACCGTGTTTTACGTTTTAATTTCGGATAGTATTATATGAATAGTTTTTTTTTTTTTATTATTTCTATAAATAGAATTAAGTCATTCAGTATTATTTCAATTCAATTGATCTAGAAGTAAAAAACAAAGAAACCCATTAAATAAGAGATAAATTTATCATTCTAATATGATATTATTACGTTGTTTTTCTATATTATTTTATGAATGAAATTATAAATAGATTATATGATTCGTTTGTCTTCATATATAATATCTAACTCAACGTCAAGCATGATTAAATCATATTTTGCACTTATTGATAAACAAATGCACTTATATTGATACGGTGATTTATAAATTTAATTTATTTTGTACATAAAATTATAAACAAAGTTTTTGTTAATAAAAGTTTTTAAATAATTGTTATTTATTTTTTTATTTTTTTATTTTAGATAGCATTACAAGAAATGATGATGAGAAGAGAATCTGAAGAAACGACTAAACATAATGATAATGATATAAAAGATCATTTGGCTAATGAACGAACTTTTTTAGCTTGGATACGAACTGGTCTTACTGTGTTTACACTCGGATGTGCTATTGCACGATTTAGTAGTTCAAATAGTTCATCAAATTTAATAAGTAAAAATGTTGACAAGAAACCAATTATATCTGGATTTATATTAGTTTTATGTGGAATTGGTTGTTTGTTATATTCTTTTTGGCAATTCTTTCGAATTCATCAACAAATTAAGACTAAATCGACTCCGAATTTATTTGGACCATCGATTGTTTTACTTTTATTATTGATAGCATTAATTGTTATTATGATTCTTCTCTTTTTTCTTTAATAACTTTTTCTTATACATATAACTCTAATTTTTTATAATCAGGTATTATTTTTTTTCTGAAGAGATATAAGTAAATAGTGTTCAAGCTGGATGAATTATGGAAATGAATACAAAAGAAAAAAAACATAGTGTTTTAATAAATTATATTTGAAGAATTTTCAGTTTTATTCCATATATTAAATAAAGAAAATTATGAAAATTAGAACTTACAATTTTGTATATATAATATTTGTTTAAAAAAAAAAGATAATTCATATAATACATTGAACATAAAATAGATTTTAAAAATTATTAGGTTTCTAACTATGCAGTCTTTATCTGAAATAAGATTTAAAAATTGAAGAATTGTACTTTTTCCATTGAAACATTGTTACAAACGGCAATTAAATCGATCGTTATAACTACAGTTTAAATCTAATAAATAATAAATTTAATCTTTTCGAGTACCACATCTAATAATCATTGATCAGAAATATTGTGATGAATAGATACACCCAAACACCACCTACAAAAAAAAACCTGAAATTGACACGCACGTGAACAGTCACGTTAAAATCCATCTTTACGCATATATTTGATATTAGTATTGATTGAACTTGGAAAGTCTGATCGAAATCGTGATAAATAATAACACAATTTTTGGAACCTGGGATATCTGCTCACTTAGAGAATTAAGAAAATATTTTTTCCTACATTTCAATCACAACATATGTAGATATATTAATCTCAGTATGCTTATCATAAATATGACATAATTGGATTCATTACGGAGTAAAACGGACTTGAAGTGCACACTATATAAAGTTTGTCGGATGTAATTCTTTAGCTTTCAACGAAAAATTTTAAGTGAAACGTGTATAAAAATATTCTTTTTACCAATCAAAATTATGAGTTCTATTCGAACACGAGCAAGAAAATCTTAGATGCAACAATAAACTAGCGATTCTAAGCCAAAATTCTTGCTTTATGGTTTATGTTTGATTGTGGTCACCCTGATTACTTGTTCAGCTAGTGCTGAATCAATGTGAAATTTTGATCTATTTCTGAAGATTCTAGGATATTTTTTTTATACTGATGTATTTTCAACATATGCAATACTAACTAAAATACACACGAGAATATTTACTGATGAAGTTTATGGTGTTTATTTATTTACATTTACATATATGGTCATCAAAAATAAAATGAAATAAATGTTTGTGCTTGAGTAGATCGCATTTCTCTATCGACATTTTAATTTCTTCCACTACATTTCTTCAGAGGAAATTATCTTGATGATTAATAAATAATGACTTTGTTCTTGTTTGGTGAAATTAACTGAACTTATATTTGCTTATTGATAAGTTAAATGTAGTGTTAGTCTTTTAATACTTATTTTTATTTCATTAGATAGTTCTGTTCTTGTTAGAACAAGATTTTCAAAGCGATTATATTAAACATTAAATGTCACTAGCTTTTAATATATAGGAAATAAACTAATCTCTTTCTTTATTATTTTTATTATTCAAAGTTAATCAATAAATATTTTTCAATAAAACAAACCAATAACGAGCAGTAAATTCAAAAAAAAATTACTTTCTGAATAAAAAAAATATATATATATATATATCGATTTTAATAGTGACCTCAAATTAAACAAATAAATGCACTGCAACATCTTCCAGATGCAGTCATGCAATATAAGAATGAACAGAAATAGCGTTGTTATATTTAACGGCAACATAAAATAAATATTGGTAGAAAGAATAGTGATAGAAATATAAAAAAAAGAAGGAAAGAGTTCGATCAGTATTTTTTTTTTTAATATTCATATATATTACAAAAGCAAACATTTTTTACACTGAATGAAATAATTATCTAAAGTAAGTTCTTTTAATTAATTCTATTTAAAACTAAATTCAAATTTTCTTTACATCATGTACAATATATTACATGTTAATATATAAAATAATATGTAATAAAATGAAAAATAAAATGATTATGACAAAATTAATTATTTCTAAACGTGGTTCTGTTCTTCACTCGCTCATAACAACATCCATATTCTCAAAATATGTTTCAATCGTCAAAGCGAGTAAACATTCTCTGAAATATTATTCTTAAAATACTTTTCGTGTTCGAAATGATAAAATACACAATATTTTATTACAATGTTGACATTTATTTAGTACTTAAAATGAAATATACGATCAATTTTAAGTACAACTATATGTATTTAGAGTGTCTTCAAAAGTCATGATCACTTAATAAATTCAAATAACTCTACTATTAACCAAGCTTCATTAAAACCTTGTTTTTTTTTTCTGTTATATTTCGAAATAGACAACTACAAGTAAGTTTTAATTTGTAAAGATCAAGTTCAATAATAGTATAGAAAGAAATAACAATCTCAATTATTCAAATATCAAACTTTTTTCGATATTACCAACAATATACATCGAGTTTCTTTTTTTCAAATAGTTTGAATTTAAAAACTTTACTAATCATAAAAAAAAAAAATTTCTCGCTAGTTATAATATGTATTTATTCACCATTTTGTTTCACGTATACAACGAAAGGTCTAAAGCGATTCGATCATCATTAGATAAACTTGTGACAGCTAGATCTGATTACCTGAAATTTGAAGAAATAGAAATTACTAAGTCGAATAATAATTATTCGCTTCAAGAGAAAAAAAAACGCACTAAGGATTAGATTCGAAGCATATTTTCACAATGTGTCGCATATGTCATATATTGTTTCGTACTTGACGACATATGTGACACATTTTATTTTTTTTGTGTGTAGATCATTTTATAATTTCTTTTAATATTACAATTGATTTTCTTGTGCTTCTTTTTCGTAAGAAAAAAAAAATATATATCAAAGCAAGTATTTATCAAGTTATGATAGAAAAATATGAATGATTTGAAGTTCTTAATAACTAAAATGGAATTCGAGTAGATATTGAAAAAAAAACCTTATCTTGTTAACCTATAGCTGAAAGTATCATGTTCTCTACACTGTTGACAAACTTGATCCTCAGTAATCAAAAATTTACTAAGCCTTCTATTTCTCATAACGGAAAAAAAAAGCTTTTTAGTAAGTTTGGTCGTCAGTCGAGTTATTTGCATTTATTAAATGATCATAATTTTTGAGACATTCTGTCTACATAGAGTTTTTTTTTTTTTTAGAAGAATGATAGTCATAATCAAACAAGAATCAACTTCATATTCATCTTCATGATCGATCTAATGACATGTTGAAGAAACTCAACGATGTTGATTCTCTCTATTCATTATTTGGAATTAATCATAAACGACTTGATATTTTAATACAAGCTAATGTATTTACTAACATTCTTAATTTTGTAAGGACTTTATGTATTATTCATGACTTCTATATTGTTTCGAAGGCATTACTGTGGCAAAAAAAAAACTCATTTTTGAAAGCACCATCTGTGGAATGTATTCATCTTGCTGATGCTTATTTTAATTTGACTTCTCTGCAGCTGTTCCATATTGAAAAAAAATAGTTTTCTAATATATTTAACACTTTCTCAAAAGAACTGGATGAATGACACTAGTTCAGTTCCTATAAGTTGTGAACTGTTACGGATCTATTTCAGATTTAATTCATTAAGCAAATCACGATATATCACTTTTTAATTCGATTAGTACAATTTTTCACATAGAAAAAATCAAAAAGCTGAAAGAATCTTCAATAGATAAAAGAGTCATTCAGCTCGAGAAAACTCTATAAAAGTGTCTCAGTAGTTTTTTTTATCTATCCGAAACATTTATTTGTAAATTCTTCATCAAAAATTGAGTCTAAAACATTATTTTTCCAGATTCTGAAAATTCATCTATCGTTTTGTGTTCACACAGGTCATTCTCATCCACATACCAACAGAACTGTCTGCATACCAAAAGAAAAAAAATATGCAGTGCTATTTTTGAAACTACCTTTCGTTTCTGAGAAAAGCGTTCAGTTCAGCAAGTGATTTGCAACTAAAGTAGACAATTTTCAACCTAGAGAGCTGAAAACTTCATATATGTAAATAAAAACGAAATGTTAAATCTAGTTTCTATTATTTTCAAAGTTTACACATTTGATAATATGTTTTTATAATAAAATAAAATATATATTCAATCCTTTATTTATTAGAATATTTCAATACAACAAAGTATTTTTCATCAAATTATCATCTTGTTTATTGTCATATTCATAGTTAATTAATACTTCAAAATTGTGTCAATATTCAATATGAATGTTAATGTTATTATGATATGAGTATAACACAAAATGATTTAGAGCAATATCACTAAAAAAAAAAAACATATATTAAATGTTTCATTTTTATTAACATTTATTGATCGTAATTTAGATGAAATATTGTTTTTGGAGAAGGTCAACAATCTTAAATGATGCATACTCCAGAAGATCATTGTGTTTTAGAATATTTATGTGTATATCAATATTTAGTAAAACAAAATTCAACAAGAATCAATGTAGATTATTTATCGATGAGGTTAGGTAAAAAAAAAAATTTTAATTATTCTAATATTTAGCATTTTAAAAGTAACAATATATTAAGATAAATCATCTTGATTAAAAAAAAAAAAAACAATTTTAGGTGAAATTAAATTAGAGCAATATGAAAATAGAAATAACAAGTTTCATCGTGTGATACATTTATTTACATATGTCAAAGAAAGAAAAAGGCATCGAGAATATTATTATTATTATCATCATCATCTATTGATGATATAAAAGATGTCAAAGATTTGAAAAATGCGAATATCTTCTCTATAGCATCAATAGATTCTTACTATTAACTTTACTTTTGATTTTACGTGTAATATTCATTTTTACTTTTGTTATTACAAACAGAATGCCACTAAAAATAATATAAACATGACAACATCTACAACAGAAAATAATAAGAATATCGATTATCTATTATCACTAGATAAAAATTAGACAAGAAAAAGTTTGTCAAAGAACAGTCTTATGAATGA